TAGGCATCTATGCGGACGACACTACTATTTACTCCTGCCTCAAAAACAAATCTAGTGTCGTCGACAAAACTAACCTGGCCGTTTGTCTTGAAAAGAACCTTCTATCAGTTGTGAACTTGGGGAGGAATTGGTTGGTTAACTTTAATGCCTCAAAAACAAAATTGCTCTCTATTACTCGCCAGAGAGAACCATCCCTGCCCTCCATGAGAATGTCTGACGCTCAACTTCTCGAGAGCACCTCTTTGAGACTACTCGGTCACACATTCGACTGCTGACCTGAGATGCAACAAATGCATTGACTCTATAGCTTCGTCCACCGCAAGAAAAGTTGGCTCCCTGTGCCGCGCTAGGAAATTTTTCTCGCCGGAATCGATCCTTCAAATCTACAAATCTTCAAATCAACCATTCGCCCTTGCATGGAGTATTGCTGCCATATATGGTCTGGAGCCCCTTCTGTTTGTCTCAAGGTTCTTGATAAAATCCAGAAACGGATATGCAACGTAATTGGCCCTGATCTGGCATCTCGTCTGCAGTCGCTCTCTCTCACAGACGTGCCGTCGCCTCCCTCTGTCTTTTTTACAAATATTTTCATGGTAATTGCTCCGAGGAGCTGCATTCGCTGGTTCCCAGACTTCATGAATTTAAGCGTTCAACTAGGCTGGCATCTCGCTCTCACCCTTTCAATGACGAAACTGTTAAATGTAGCCGTCTCTTCTACTCCAATAACTTCATGTCTCGCACCTCTCGCTTGTGGAACTCCCTTCCCTCTTCCTGTTTACTCTGATAGCTATAATCTCCAACTATTCAAATGTAATGTCAATCGACGTCTCCAGATGCCCTGATCTCTTCCCTATCCTTCTCTTCATCCTTTCCTCTATCACTCCTATTTGTTTGGCTCCAACTCCCTGTAACTCCTTGCGTGCTAGTGGCTTCCCGCCTTGCTTGGGGTGAAACGCTTAAAAAAAACTTTCAGGTTGTAGAGGTTGAATAAGTGCGACGATAAGACACGTTCTTGTTAGATAATACTCGCAGTTTTACGGATTGGTTGAGTTTCTTTGGAAATAGACAGCGCTTTGAGGGCGGAAGTTCTATATTTTACGTTTGATTTCTTTTTCACAGCAGTAAAATTTGATACAATAATTTCTATATAAATTAAATTTTTTGTGGACACACGTACATGAAAGTCTAGTGTATAAAAGAACAATTGAATTTTGACCTTCAAATGAGATGCATCGTGTACAAGTCGACTTTTGAATCGATCTTACAATCGCGTTATTATTTTGTCTAACCACGTATACCAAACTGTTTCTATTGTCGCCTACGACGTTTCGAAACTAAATAATTCGAAAGAAATATTTTCTATTCCTTACCCTTTCCTACGTTTTTATTTAACCCTAGAACACTAACCACATGACATGTATCTACGGCACGCGTGCCACAATAGGTACCGAAGCAATTTCCAATGGCACGCAATCGAAAATGACATCATGAAGTCCGAACCAGTAACTAGTACAACGCAAAGAAGATATTTAGCTCTTTGAAAACTGCTCACTTGGTGGACTCCCATTAATAATAAAAACTTTAATAAAACTTTTAGAACACTAACCATCAATTAAAAGTTACACCACTACTAACCATGGGTATATTATACCCGATTATGAAAATTAAATATAAATCTTTATTTGAAATATTTTAAATGCAGGCACTTCAAACTTTGAATTTTGAGTTAACATTAATAAGAACTGAAAAACATTATTTAGGTAAGAAAATCAAGTACTGGAAATCATACTTATTATAAAACCCAGGTTGTGTGTGTGTGTGTCTGTACGTTTATATATTGGATCGGATTTTCTACATTTTTCAACCGATTTCAACAAAACTTCACAGGACTGCGTAAAGTTACCTTGCGGTGGTTCTGACGGTGCCAAAAATTAGAAAAACACAATTGTTTTTGCACGAAATCAATTTGAAAACACGATTAAGAGGCATCCCCAAAATGAAAGGGGGACAACTCATATCGAGTTATACTTATAAAATCCAGGTTGTTTGCGTGTGTGTGTGTTCGTTTATATATGGGATCGGATTTCCTACATTTTTCAACCGATTTCAACAAAACTTCACTTTTTCTTTGGCAGGTAGTGTTTCTTATTGTCTTGCACACTTTTTTTTACATTCAGAATGCTTTTAAAAATTCCATTTACAAGACAATTATTTATAAGAAAATTCTATTCATTCGGTAGACTCATAACGATTGAAAACAATGTTTTTGTTTGAGTTTGGGTTTGACAAATTCGTAAAAAGAAAAAAAAACTAAAAAGAAAATATTTAAGACATACGTGTCCGTCAACCTTAAACAATAATCTTTGTCAATTTTATTTTTCAGTCCTTATGATGGTCGATATTTGATCTATCTCTTACTGTTACATCCCCGGGCAACGCCGGGCTCTACTGCTAGTTGTAATTAAAAAAAGGAAAAATTGCGCTGGGTATATTATACCCATGGTTAGTGTTCTAGATTTAAGGAATATTTTTTTCTCTTTTTTACCCGCTCGCTTGCTCTCTTTTCTAAGTGAACGAGCATAGTTCTTTTTTTTTCTTTAATTTCCGAACATATTATTCTTTAGTTTATTTTTGTTGTTGTTGTCGTCGTTTGACCGATTGCAACGATTTGTTTTCTCTCTTTTCTTTGTTATCTCTCCAGCTGAGCTAACGATAAATCATCCCAATGAAAATTACATAGACCGCAAAGCCTCATAAGGACTCGTATGTAATGTTTCGAGACTACCACTTCGCCAATTCTGTTCATTCTCAGTGCGCACGCGCGTCTAATCCTCGGCCGATTGTTTCATTTTTATTGAGCATTTAAAACAATAGCTATAAATCTTGGATACCCACCCCAGCCTGACAGATCCCGTTTTGGAAAATTCCATTCTTTATTTTATATTTTTATTTCTCTAAGGATTATTGAATGTCCCTTGTTTACAGACACTCTCAGAAAGTAACATTTTTTTTGTATCTAATGTTTCCCCAATGATATGTCAGCATTGTTTTGAAAATGCCATTGTTATGCTTGCATTTATTTACGACCCAATCAGAATGGTTAAGAATGGCTGAGATAATCTTATATTAATAATATCCGTCGACAATATTTAGAAGCTTTGGCGTGATCGAGAACACAAATGACAAATTGGTCCAGATGAACAGCAACCCTGTGGAAAGGATTTAACTGTAAGAATTAGTTCAAATGGCTTGTACTAGTAAACCCCTAATTAAATCTAGGTGCAGGCCCTATCGATTTTTACAATACACTGAGAGCATCTTCTATGCAGTGGTAAGACTCTCCCAATAAAAGGAGCCAACTTCCAAGGGACTACTTGATCTATCTATCTATCTATCTATTTTCATATATTTATGTTAATATCTATGCATCAGTCTATCTCTATTTCAGCCATAATATATATATATATATATATATATATATATATATATATATATATATATATATATATATATACTGAGTCTTATCTGTTCACATTTATTTAAGTCATTTCATATCTATCTATCTATCTATCTATCTATCTATCTATGTTCATATATTTATGATAATACCTATCTATGTTCATATATTTATGTTAATATCTATGCATCAGCGTGTGTGTGTGTGCATTGGAAAAATTCATGGCATTCCACTGTGACATACATTTCCCCATTATTGTTTTTGATATATATATATATATATATATATATATATATATATATATATATATATATATATATATATATACGGCTTAGTGGTAATTCAGTCGAGTTTCGATCCTAACAAGATGCAACCGGACGTCTATCCACACTGAAGAGCTGTGAAACAGCGAAACAGTCTGTATGTGGATGACATTATATAGCCTCCTGAAAAATTAATTTCGGTTGAGCTCTCTTGGGAGGAAATGTGGGCTTGTAAACAATGACTATTACGGCTGATATAACGAGACTCTTCGACAAAAGCGAATTGAGTCATTTCGGTCACTGTGTGTTTATCTAAAAATAAATACGCTTAAATTCACCTTTATCCTTGCCGTGTGCCAACGGCTTTGTGGTAGAATCCCGTCTGACGCCAATTCAGTCGGGTTTCGATCCGAGCTAGAGGCACCGGACATCTAGCCACATGAAGAGCTTTTGATACAGCGAAACAGTCTGTCTGTGGATGATTATATATATATATATATATATATATATATATATATATATATATATATATATATAACTATACTCGTCTCGAAAAACCTTCGAATTTTTGATTTGCTAACTTTCCCTCACGATCCGCTTAGGTGAAACCTGGGTAAGTTTGTCAGGCTCACTATATTTATATATATATATATATATATATATATATATATATATATATATATATATATATATATATATATAAGTGTGTGTGTGTGTATTATACTCTAATCTTTCCTTCTCACGAACTTTTACCGCTCCATTTTCCCTACAAAAGACATACAATATATCCACCATCTTGTAAAATCTAGGATTATCTATTGTATGAACTATGGTTTATATGAAAGGGCTGTAACGCAATTGCTAAAATTAAATGACCAAGAATATAAAGTGAAAAAGAAAGTAAAATATCGGCTTGAATTAGAGAGAAATTGAAATAAACATCAAAGTTTAAAAAGAAAAAAAAAATGTCTATAATGGTAATCGTATGTTCTCATCACGTGAAAACCGAAAATTGATGTTAAACCCGGAGGTCACTAATACTTTAAGCAAAATGACAGAAGAATTGTAATTCCTCAGTTTCTTTTATATATTTACCTACCAACTTTTCTTTATATATTGGTTTCCATCTTCTATTACCACCGTGTCTACTGACATATACACCTACATAAGCAAACAGTCTCTAGTTGGTATGCATTATATGTATGTATGTATGTATATATGTATGTATGTATCTCTTTGCCCATGTTATTCCATTCTCATCTATCTACCTTCATATCCGAATGTTTTTTCATATCTATCTATCTATCTATCTATCTATCTATCTATCTATCTATCTATCTATCTATCTATCTATGTTCATAGCAGTCCGAATGTATTTTCACATCTATTCATCTATCTATGTTCATAGCAGTCCGAATGTATTTTCATCTATCTATCTATCTATCTATCTATCTATCTATCTATCTATCTATCTATCTATCTATCTATCTATCTATGTTCATAGCAGTCCGAATGTATTTTCATATCTATCTATCTATCTATCTATCTATCTATCTATCTATCTATCTATCTATCTATCTATGTTCATAGCAGTCCGAATGTATTTTCATATCTATCTATCTATCTATGTTCATAGCAGTCCGAATGTATTTTCATATCTATCTATCTATCTATCTATCTATCTATCTATCTATCTATGTTCATAGCAGTCCGAATGTATTTTCATATCATCTATCTATCTATGTTCATAGCAGTCCGAATGTATTTTCATCTATCTATCTATCTATCTATCTATCTATATCTATCTATCTATCTATCTATCTATCTATCTATCTATCTATCTATCTATCTATGTTCATAGCAGTCCGAATGTATTTTCATTATCTATCTATCTATCTATCTATCTATCTATCTATCTATATCTATCTATCTATGTTCATAGCAGTCCGAATGTATTTTCACATATCTATCTATCTATGTTCATAGCAGTCCGAATGTATTTTCATTCATCTATTCATCTATCTATCATATCTATCTATCATCTATCTATATTTCATAGCAGTCCGAATGTATTTTCATATTCATATCTATCTATCTATCTATCTATCTATCTATCTATCTATCTATCTATCTATCTATCTATTTGCCCATGTTAGTCTCATCTATCTAAGTAAGGGCATTTTTTATATAATTTTTAAGTACTCAGTAAGCTTAAAATCATTGAAAAATATCCTCCGTCATCTAATTTAAAGAACGCTGAATTTAAATTTTCTATAGTCATCGCTCTTATTTTCTGATTATGTCCTATGTGGTCGACCATACTTTCAAACAGGGGCATACCTAAAAAAAGATAGCTTTTTATATATTGGGAGTCAATGACTATTTAATAAGCTTTTCAATTTTTGATTGATAAATACAGTTTTCACCTAATAACAATGTTAACTAAACTCCTTGAAGTAATGCAGAATTTTTAATGATTTAAATTATTTAAATAAAATTAAACAATGTAAACAATTCTTGTAAAAATTAATTATTCATCTAAAAATTGTTTTTTAAAGAAATAATGTCATTAATAAATCTTATTTATAAAGGCAATTAAAAGATTTTCTAATTAAATAATGTCATAGACTTATTGGATTTTTTATTTTACATTTCAGAGCAGATTTTTGGTGAGTGGGTGTCCTTCTGCATCTTCTGAGATGAGGCATAATGTACACTATTTACATTATTCGGACTCTTGTCCTCATCTTTGTCGCCATATTTATTACAACGTTTTGGCTGTTGTACGCTCCGGCCAAGCATAGAAATGAATACAATATGGGAACCAGTAATAAGGAGTGCCAGAGAAAAAGCGATAATAACAAAAATTGCAATATGAGAGCATTGGTAAAAAGTTAGCTGAAGACAATGAGTTTATAATACCCGGAAAATCATACACAGATGTCATTAAGGACACATGGCACAGTGGATAAAGACGTTGTTTAGATAAAGGACCAAAAGATTGTGAGTTCAATATCCGGTTTAGGGGGTGGAGAACTTGGAGAGGGAAATTAACAGGAGATAATTGTTAACTGACGGGGAACTAGAACGGTCTACCCCAGTGAGAATTCAACATTACAACCAACCAAAAAGGCCGGAGCGTACAACGGTCGAAACGTTGTAATAAATATGGCGACAAAGATGATGACTATAGTTCGAATAATGTAAATAGTGTGTTGATTTAATTTAATAATGTAAATAGTGTGATGATTTAATTTCTCCAAGGAGTCCTAAATAAAACTCATAAAAATTTGAATTCTCGAAATTTCATGAAATTAAGTTTGTTTTTTTTGTGGATTTTGTAACATATATAAAAAGATATTTGTTTACTAAGATTTTCTAAAACAAAAGATTTCAAAAATAATTTCATTCATTTGCGAAAAAGTCCTGAAAATTTCATTAAAATCCGACAATTATTTGATTTTTCTAAAAAATACCCAAATCTTTTGTACAGGCTATTTCAGTTAAAAGTGGACTAACCTAGTCAAGTAGCAGGGTAGACTGGTATCTCTAGCTTTGATTGGCAACTAATCTAGGGAAAAACGATCGGTTGCTATGCTTACGATCAGATAAAAGTTCTTCAACCTTGGTTGGTAATCTCTTTAGCAGACGGAAATATATTTTCTCTTTCCAGTCATTCGGTTTTCTCAAGTTACAGAATCTTTCTCCCGTCTCAATCTCTCGAACTGACCCGAGAAATATTTCTAAATCGAGAAATTTACACGAAAATCAAGCACAGAATTTCCCCATTCGTTTTATTTTTTCTGTCTTTGAAGAAGAGATTCCGAGCCTGAGGTTGAAAACCAATGTTTCGATTGCATCTAATGCAATTAGCAATCAAAAAAACGTGTATCCTTGTTCAGTAAGCAATTTCCCACCCTTTTTTTTTTAGACTTTTGGCATAATATGTATAGAAGGAAAGCGTCGATAAGATTATGAAAAAATCTTGTTTTTCATTCTTATATTGATTGGACTAAAACTGCATTTATAAAACAGGTCATTTTTAGGTGCAAAATATGCAACTTTATTTTACTACTTTACAACAAAAAAAAATAATTCGTTTTTTTTCCTTCATGATGACGATTTTTTTAGGTCTGACATTTTAAAAAAATTATTCAATTTATTGGAAAATTTCTAAGTTTATTTCGAATTATTTGTTAATTGTTTTCACACTCTCCATTATTCCTTGTTACTTGCATTCGTTATTTCCCTGTTTTTTCTCACTTGTCCATCTTTTTCCGTTTTTATTTTGCATTTCCCTTTTTCTTGCTTTTCTCATTAATTTCTTTCTTTCGTTTTTCTCTGAATATTTGTTTTTGTTTATTTGCTTTTCCTTTCGAATTTTTTAATCTTTTATTTTCTGTTTTATACGAATTACTTTTACTTTCTTTCTTTCCGTTATCATTCATCTATTCTATCCATTTTATTTTCCTTTCTTTCTGTCTTTCTTTTTATATTCTTTCCTTTTTGTTACACTAATTTCTTTCTTTCTTTCTTTCTTCTGTCATACTCTCTGTCTTCCTCCCTTTCAATATTCGGTTATTGTCTTTCTTTCTTTCTTTCTTTCTTTCTTTCAATATCACTTTCCTCTTTTCTTTCTTCTTTCCTTTCTTTCTTCTATCGTAACCCCTATCTTCCACTCTTTCTTTATTCTGCTATTTCCCATTTCTTTCTTTCTTTCTTTCTTTCTTTCTTTCTTTCTTTCTTTCTTTCTTTCTTTCTTTCTTTCAATGACATTTTTCTTCTTTCCTTATTCTTTCTGTACATTGTTTTTCATTCTTTCTTTCTTTCTTTCTTTCTTTCTTTCTTTCTTTCTTTCTTCGCTAGTTGATTTTTTTGCCGCCATTAAATTCTTCCTTTTTATCGTATTTCTCGTCTTCATTTTAAATCTTTATTCAAATCTTTTTTATTTGCTTTGCTTTTGTCATTTTAGTCTTTCATTTCCTTCATCATTTTCTCCTATTTTTTCTCGTTCTCCTCTTTTTTTTCTTCCTTCCTTCCTTATTTTTTTAAAATTTTTTTAAGTCATTTTTCCTTCGATTTAACACTTCTTTTTCTTTCCTTATTTCCGTCTTGCATTTCGTTCTGCTTGACCTTTCTCTATCTTTATTTCCATTTTTGCATTTGTCTTTGTCTCAACACAAAAACGACGTAAAGCCTAACGATAAACTCAACTCCTTCTTTTTCTAATTCTTCTTTTTTTTTTCATTTTCTTTTATTTGCACAGAAAATGATAAAAAATAATTAAAATTGATGTTTTTTTTTTCATTTTGCTTTCTCCTAATTTTTCTTGCAATTTCCTCTCGCCCGTCTATTCACTCCTCTACCCCGATATTTCTTGTTCAATCGATACTCAAAGGTCAGACTTCCTAATTAACTGGAAACGGGCAATGATAAAAATAACCGGACAATATTATTTTCACGATAACCTTTTCGCCCGTAATGAATGCTTGATGAGGATACGGTCACGTGCCCATCCGGACGACAAATTCACTTTAACTCATTCCTTTTACTTTTTCTTTTTCTTTTTTTTTTTTTTCTTTTTTTTTTCATTCACTTCCTCAAATATTTCTTCCCACATACTCTTTCGTTTAGTTTATGCTGACGTCATTTTATTTCCTTTCTTCATATTTCTTTTCTTTTTTTTTTGTCTTTCTTTCTTTTTATTCGCTGTTTTTGTTGATTTTATCATTATCATTTCCGACATTTTTGTTTGTCATTTCCTCGGATGCCATAATTATAAATGCCTCTTTTTTCCTTTATTTCCTTATAAGACGTATTACTTTTCTTTCTCTTTCTCCCTCTTTCTTTCTTTCTTTCTTTCTTCTTCTTCTTCTTACTATTATTATTATTATTATTATTATTATTATTATTCATCTTATTTTTTCTTGTTTTTTCTTATTGTTTTTCTTCTTCCTTTACTTATTTTTCTTCGTTTTTTTCTCATTTTTCTTCTTAATATTTTTCTTCTTTTTCTTATTATTTTATTCTTATTATTTTTCTCCTTCTTCATTCTTCTTCTTCTTATACTACTCTTTCTTCTTCTCCTCCTTATTTTCTTTCTCCTTATTTTTATTGTCCCTATATTTTTATTGTCCCTCTTCGATTATCTTTTTCTTGTTCTTTTCCTTATTTTCTCATTATTATTTTTCTTCTTTTTCTTTTTCTTCTTCTCTGACGAGACGAGTTTTCTGGCGCGACACAGTCAACTAGATTTCTAGCAGTAGACATAGCAATTGCTCCTCTTCATGGCTGGACAAAGTATGCCCAATATGGCGTAGAGTTTTGCTCTCCTCGAGTTTAGCCCCAGCCAGGATGATGACAGAGAGAAAAGGCTCCCTGGGGTGATTAAATGAAAAGTACTACAGAAAGAGGTAGCTGAAATTTCTAGGACACGTAATGCGAAACGAGGGCTTGGAAAATCTGATGACAGATACCGGAAAGTCAGACTAGGGAAAGCAGTGCGTGACGTACTTAACCGGGTTAACCAAATGGATGGCAGAACAGGGACTGGGAGAAATAACAAAATTATAAAACTTATGGAGAGCTACAAGAGTCAGTAAGAAATGGAGAGCCATGATCGCCTACGTTCTGATGTGCCATGGGACATAAAAGAAGAAGTAATTGTTTTTAGAGGCGTTAGAATTTACAAGCCATTTCGTGGCCCATTTAACCACTGAGGTCTTTTTCTAGAGTGGTTGCCAAGTTCAATCTATCGCCTACTAAGACTGCAGAAATTGGTTGTGTCATCAGCATAAATGCCTAGTTGGGAACTGATGACATTGGCGAGGTTAATGATGAAGATCATAAACAGCTTAAGTCCAATTGATAGATCCTTAGTAGGAAATGATCTGGAAGCGTGTCCATTCAATACGATTTTCATTACTCGATTTGTTAGGAAAGATTGGATAACACCAAATCTTCGTCTCGTGATACCTTCAGCTTGCAGAGACAGCCAGCATGCTAAACCCTGTCGAACGCCTTTCAGATATTTAGAGCCTCAGTCCGAGCATAGCCATTCTTATCTAAAGCGTGACAGACAAATTCACTGATGCCCGTTAACAAGTCGGCGGTTGACTTAGAGAACCGGAAGCCATATTGTTTATCCGAAAATAGA